TGGAAAGGATACAGTATTAACATCAATGGCAAGTACATCACTCACCTTCAATTTGCCGACGATATAGTCCTTATGGCAGAATCGCTGAAGGACGTAAGCACCATACTCAATGACTTCAATAGTGTCTCCCAACGGATAGGTCTTAGGATGAACATGGACAAAACAAAGATCATGTTTAATGTCCATGTCACACCTATGCCGATAGTTGTTGGGAGCACTAAGCTCGAAGTTGTTGACGAGTATGTTTACCTGGGACAAATAGTCCGACTAGGTAAGTCCAGCGTTCGGGAAACTACAATACATCTTCTCTTCAGACATACCTCAAAACCATAAAACGAAATTGTACAACCAGTGCGTGTTGCCAGTGATGACTTACGGATCTGAGACGTGATCCTTCACTGCTGGCCGTATGAGGAAGCTCAAGGGCGCTCAGCGAGCTATGGAGAGGACTATGCTCGGGATTTCTCTGCGTGATAAACTTAGAAATGAGTATATCCGCAGTAGAAGCAGAGTAACCGATATAGCCCAACGTATTAGTAAGCTGAAGTGGCAGTGGGCCGGCCATATAGCTCGAAGAACCGACAATCGATGGGGAAGAAAGGTTCTTGAGTGGCAGCATCGTACCGGTAGGCGAAGTGTAAGGCGACCCCCCACGAGATGGTGTGACGACCTGGTAAGACATGCAGGAAGTCGATGGATGCAGGTGACTCAGGACCGTGCTTTATGGCATTCCTTGGGGGAAGCCTATTTTCAGCAGTGGACTTATTAAAGGCTGTAATAATAATAATAATTATACCACCTCCAAAAACAGAAATTTGCATTGCACCTATATTGATTATAAAAAAGCTTTTGACAGTATTCCTCATTCTTGGTTGTTACAAATTTTAGAGATTTATGGAATAAACCCGAAAATAATAGATTTCTTACGCCGTATAATGTTACAGTGGAAAACAACACTACAAATAAATTGTGACAAAAATACTATCACAACACGACATATTTCCATCAAAAAAGGCATCTACCAAGGTGACTCTCTAAGCCCACTGTGGTTCTGTCTTGCCCTAAATCCTCTGTCTCATTTGCTGCAGAGCTGTGAGGCAGTATATAGTCAAAAAAACAATACAGACGAAACAACAATGTCGCATCTTATATACATGGACGACATCAAATTATACGCGAAAACAGAAAAAGATATGAAGAAATTATTAGATATTACAGCAGAATTTAGTAACTATATTAATATGCAATTTGGTTTGGATAAATTTAAAACACTTCACATCGTAAGAGGCAAAGTAAGGCCCGGCGACTATGTAGTGAATGACACGGATGCTATTACAGCAATGGAACCGACTGACTTGTATAAATATTTAGGGTATGTGCAACTTAAAGATCTTAACCACGTACGAATAAAAAGTTCACTAACTACGGAATACAAGAGAAGACTTAACGCCGTTTGTAAAAAGCAGCTTTCAGGTAAACATCTCATCAAAGCCATAAACACCTTCGCCATCCCTGTATTAACGTACTCATTCGGGGTCATAAAATGGTCCAAAACTGACACAGAACAATTAGAACGTACTACACGAACAATACTTAAAAAACATAACAACCTGCACCCTAAGTCCGCCATAGAAAGATTAACCATAAAACGGGAACTTGGAGGGAAAGGCCTAATAGATATTCAACACCTAAGGCAGAAACAAGTTGAACGACTAAAATCGTTCTTCTACACAAAGTCCCACACTAGTAATATACATAAAGCCATAGTAACAAATGATATTAACTACACTCCACTTAACCTTAGCAATCAAATAGAAACCCAAAACACTACCATTGATAACCAGCAGACACAAAAAATTGAGGATTGAAAGAAGAAAGTACTCCACGGTCGGCACCCTCATGACTTGGAGCAATCACACATAAATAAGTTAGCTTCAAATAAATGGCTGAAAATAGGCAACTTATTCCCAGAAACCGAAGGATTTATAATAGCTATTCAAGACCAAATCATAAACACAAAAAACTACAGGAAATACATAATAAAAGATCCTACAGTAATTAATGACAAATGTCGCAAATGCCACATCCACCCAGAAACCATCCAACACGTAACAGGCGCATGCACAACTCTGACGCAGACCGACTACACCCACAGGCACAACCAGGTGGCCAATGTCATTCACCAAAATCACGCACTCATTAAAAATACCAACACTACTTACTACAATTATACACAAAAAATTACCCTAGAAAATACTACACATAAGCTCTTGTACGACCGCGCCATTCTTACTGACAAGACAATCCATTATAACAGACCAGATTTAATCCTACAAAACAAAATAAATAAAATTACGTACCTGATAGACAATGCAGTTCCCAACACACACAACATACAGAAGACAATCACTGAAAAAATTAGTAAGTACGCGGAGCTCAAAGATGAAGTGACTAGAATCTGGCGACAAGAAAAAGTATATGTGGTTCCTATAGTCCTCTCCATAACAGGCGTAATACCAAATCATCTCCTCCATAGCTTAACACTATTAGATCTAAAGGAAACCCTCTACATAACACTGCAAAAAGCTGCTATATTAAATACATGCAGAATTGTCAGGAAATTCATGCAGATAGAAGTAAACAAAATAGGACCTCATGAAAATACATAAATATACACACCTCACGCTGCATTTGCTTTGGTTTCAGCCCCTAAATGTAGTTGAATTCCAGTCCAAGGCCTAAGAAGTGAAAAATACTTTCCGATAATAATATATACATATATATCTTTATATACAAAAATTATGTGTCACATTTTTTGTCCGCGATGAACTCTTAAACTACTGAACTGATTTCAATGATATTTTTCAAACTGTGTGTAGTTTGTCCCAACTTGAGAGATAGGATAGTTTTTATCCCGATAAGTGATCCTCAATATTTTCTTATTGCGAATTTAAGAATTTTTTATAGGAAGGGTCTTCGGTCTTCTAAATATATATATATAAGTAAAAATGAAACGCGATAAAATCGGTAACATTAATTTTATTTAAAAAAGAAATATTTGTTTAGTGCGAGCTTTGAAACGCAGCGCCGCAGCTCAATGCTAAGCCAATGCCCCACGGATTCGTTCATTTTTATTTTATTAAAAACCCAAACATTACAAAACAACTATACAACTTAAACAAATTTACTTATATTTCCACTAAATTCTATTTAATACTTTTACCAAAGTTTTTATTGGTTTTGTATCTATTTCATATGTAAATCATTTGAAAATAGTATTAAATTATTATTGTTACAGTCATGTAATAAGCATTAGTTGATCTTTAATCTTGTTTGTTGAGGGTTTATAATAAAATGTAATCCTTTTCAAAGCAACAGGTTCGTTAAAATAATTTGCATTTGCATTTGCAAAATATGAGAATACATATAAAAGCTAACTGCAAAAGGGGTTGAAAATAGGTCATAGTAAATTTATAACAAGAGAATCTTCTAAATATTTTCTTTTTAAACCTAGCTGACCAGTACATTCATACAAGAATATTTTTGCGAGTACTAAATGGTATAATATACAGATACGTAGTGTTTGTATGAAGTAAATATTTTTCTGTAAATTTCCTTATCTGGAACCACAAAGAGAAGCAGTGGTACCGCTATACTTTGGAGGTAATTTCCACGGCCTTTTGATCACATCTACTGCATCTTGATAGATTCAAGGTTCCTAAAGCGTACTTTTATTTGTATTTGTGGTAGGTAGAGCCATGCTGTAGCTATCTTATGGCTGTAGAATGAATAAGTCGGCTCAATCGGGAAGGGACCGTTAAATATCAGTGTAAAATAGCAGCTTAATGTTGCTGTATTTTCTACGGTGAGTGTAGAGAACCGGAGACCCGGTGACCCATTTACTGGAGATGTGGCATTCCATCTTGGTCCTCAGGGTTGACAACGCATCTGCATTTTGATTCTTAATCGAGGGTAAATGTAGATCAATATACAACACCGCGGCTCTCACTGTTCGTTTGATGGTGTGCATTAAAGCGTAGAATGCTACTTCCAAAGCGCTATTTCCAAAAAAAATCCGATGATAATATATTAGACAAAGAATAAGACAACTTACTATCAGTAAAACACACTATGCGGTTTTTCTTTTGGTTTTGGTGGACGTAGCTTTGTTGCCTCTTACAATATTAACTAAACGAACTAACTAAAGGATATATAGAATATTCTTACATTGCCACTTCATAATCAACTATTTACAATAATGTTGAATGGCCACCGTTTACTTAGTGAATGTCCTCGACGTAACACCTCATCGTGTGTATATAAATTTATTTATATTTCGAATTTTCGTATTTGCTTTTCACTCGAAAGAATTTAAATGTAATATAATATGTAAATAGTACTAACTTTTTTGATAATCCTCTCGTCATCGAGTGGCGGACTGCAGGCGATGCTGAATGACCTGATTAGAGAAAGTGGCAATGTAGGATTGGTCATGAACACATTAAAGACCAAGGCTATGACCAATGGCAAGAAAGAACCTATTCTGATCAATAATAACCCGATTGAATATGTTAATGAATACATCTATTTGGGCCAGATAATCTCTCCTGTAAATCTAACCTCAAAAGAAATTGACAGACGCATTGGAAATGCCTGGAAACAATTTTGGAGCCTAAAAGAAATAATGAAAAATAACGATACTAACATAACCATCAAACGGAAACTCTTCGATACCAGTATATTACCTATACTCACTTATGGCTGCCAAACCTGGGCACTCACTAAATCACACATTAAAAAGTTAGAAACTTGCCAAAACTCTATGGAAAGGAGTATGATGGGGAAAAGACTATCCGATAGAATAAGAATCGAAACCATAAAGAAACACACGAAAACAAAAGATGTCACAATAACAATAAAAAAGTTAAAATGGAAATGGTCAGGCCATATAATTAGAGGAAAGGAGAAATGGTCCAAATCGATAATGAATTGGTTTACAGGTCATATGAAAAGGAAAAGGGGTAGACCATGTAGAAGATGGGAGGATGACATTAAAGCCATAGCAGGAGGCATATGGACTAGAACTGCTAAGGATAGAGAGGAATGGAAAAGGTTGGAGGAGGCCTTTGCCAATAAGTGGCATACAGACAGGGTTGTCGATGTACAATAGTTAAGCGTTGAGAGTATAAAAATATATAATATATAATCCAGTGTTAGATATAGAATAATCCAGATAGATACTGTAAATGAAATACTGTCTGAAATAAAGGCTATTATTATTATTATTATTATTACTAACTAAAATTAGTTGCAGTCCAGGTTGAATAAAAGCTTCAGCGCTTGTACCTAAACCACTTACTAATGACAGTGTGTTAGCAAGGAGAAACTTCTACATGGTACAAATTCCGTTATTAGATCCGCTTATCTTGCAAGATATCTTTATTGGAAAACGTTAGGTTTTATAATAGACTACCTATCGGAACAGGCATTTGTATGCTAGCTATACGTAGTGTAAATGTTTTGTAAAAGTTATTTGATAGGTATGGGCATATTGCTTTATTTTAATAAAATTATATATCTGGGAGACTTACACGCAATTATATATACGCAGCAATTACAAACAAATAATTCCAGACAAGAACTTTTAAATATTAATATAGCCCAAACGTATGTGAAGCACTCTTATTTGAAAACAATACTAAGTGGTAGACGTCGTTGAATTTCGAATACTACGACCGACTAAAACAATTTAAACTTTCAAATTAAAACCGGCCGTATAATTAAATATCTACTTACTCTATGAATCGAATAGGAAGCGACGCAACGTTAATGAGACAACATTACTAACGTCAATAGAATTCGTGTTGTTGAAGGTCAAACAGATAGTTATCACTAAAAATATAAAATTCTTTCATATAAATTACCACTAAAAATATTAAATTCTTTTATATAAGTGACATTATTACGTAATAATCTATCTATCTGATCTATAGTGTCTGTAATTCTAATACTTTCTGAAAAAACAATTCATCATCATCATCATCATCATCATTACAGCCCTTCACAAGTTCACTGCTGAACATAGGCCTCCCCCAAGGAATGCCACAAAGCACGGTCCTGAGCCACCTGCATCCATCGACTTTCTGCATATCTTACCAGGTCGTCACTCCATCTAGTGGGGGGACGCCCAATACTTCGCCTGCCGGTACGAGGCTGCCACTCGAGAACCTTTCTTCCCCATCGGTTGTCGGTTCTTCGAGTTATATGGCCGTCCCATTGCCACTTCAACTTACTAATCCGTTGGGCTATGTCGGTCACTCTGGTTCTACTGCGGATATCCTCATTTCTGAGTTTATCACGCAGAGAAACTCCGAGCATAGCCCTCTTCATAGCTCGCTGAGCGACCTTGAGCTTCCTCATCCGGCCAGCAGTGAAGGACCACGTCTCAGTTCCGTATGTCATCACTGGCAACACGCACAGGTTGTACAGTCTCGTTTTCAAGTTTTGAGGTATACCTGACGAGAAGATGTGCCGTAATTTTCCGAACGCTGCCCAACCGAATTGAATCCGTCGATTGACCTCTTGGTCGAAGTTGGACTTACCTAGTCGGACTATTTGTCCCAGGTAAACATACTCGTCAACAACTTCGAGCTTAGTGTTCCCAACAACTACCGGCATAGGTGTGACATGGACATTAAACATGATCTTTGTTTTGTCCATGTTCATCTTAAGATCTATCCGTTGGGAAGCACTATTGAGGTCATTGAGCATAGTGCTTAGGTCCTCCAGCGATTCTGCCATAAAGACTATATCGTCGGCAAATCGAAGGTGATGTATTCGCCATTGATGTTGATACCTGAATTTTTGTCTGTCCGTCTGTTTGTTTGTCTTTGTTTTCCTTCAAGACCTAAATGGCCGGCAACGCATCTGCAATTCCCCTGGTGGTGCGGTTGTTCATGGGCGGCGGTAGTCACTTACCATCAGGTGAGCCGCAAGCTCGTTTGCCCCCTCTTCTATAAAAAAAAAAGTTTCCGAACGTAAGGACACTTACCTTAAATTACTTGAGTATTTATATATATATATATATAAACCATAATGATTTCTTATGTTTACGCGAACAATACACATTCAAATAAAACTAATTTTTTTTTTCGGATTTTATCGCGTATATTAACTTATTTTATATTCCCGACGTTTCGAGCACTTTACAGCATCCATGGTCACAAGGGAGACTGAGGTGCCTGACGTCTCATTGTCTACAAGAAAAGTCTGCAGTTTGTGGTCGAATCACAGACGGCCCCCGCCATTATATCAGTTTGGATAGACTACAAATCCTCGCGAAATAACATCGATTCCTGCCAAGGATGATATTATGTGAGACTTTTGAAGTTTGTCTGCGCCGCAGACCGTTATAAACTTTAATATAAATATATTTATATTGTCTGCATTTCAAATAATATAGGAATATTATGTATAATTGTAAAATCCATACATATCTAACTGTTTTGAAATAATTGCAGTCTGTATTTCCGGTGTCCTTCAAATATAAGTATTGTACGTTCGTTACAAACAAACAAAAAATTGTTAAATATCTTAACGGGCACGCAACCTAATTGTTCCTACCATAATTATTGTATCAGAAATATAGCTACTTTTAATAATTCTAAAGAGCGTTATTTTATCTTCCTTGTTCTATTTTGAACAAAATTAAAAAACATCCTAATTTCAATAGAGGAAGCTGGATACTACCACCAGCTTGGGTTCCTGTAGTTGATAAAATTAATATTACACCCAAGTAAGGTAATTCTGCGTAGATCGAACCAAAAGTAATAACTAAAAAGCTGAAGGTGGAGTACCTCAGTCCCGCCACCCCGTTACCATGGTTGCTGGAAAGCACCCGAAAGATCGGAAATTAAAATTAAGTAAATTAAATGTAAGAAAATCCGTAGAAGTAGTTTTGATCAATCTGAAAATTCTGTAAAAGATATAAGGACCAAGAGCCGTCAGTGTGGATGCCGCAAAACATTTCTAATTCCGAAGACGACAATCAGTCTATATCATACTTTTTGCCGCCTACGAATTTCCATGATAAAAATTTCTATTCTATACAATACAAATACAACTAAATAAAATTTAAGTGTCTATTTATAATGTCAAAATAACAGTTTTTAACTAAATGCACATGAAAGTTTATATGGTATATATAACAAAAACACAATGTTTAAATTTTTGTCTGTCTGTCTGTCTATCTGTCTGTTTGTTCTAACTAATCTCCGGAATGGCAGGACCGATTTTGATGGCACTTTCACTGGCAGATAGCTTATGTTATAAGGAAAAACTTAGCCTACTTTTATTTTTGAAAAAGAATTAGCGTTCCGCGCAAAAAAAATTAAAACCCAAAATTACACGCGAGCGACGTCGCGAGACTCCGACCTAAAATGAGAAATTATTTTATTAATTTTAGTTTTTGAAGTCGGCTCTTGCTTTTTAATAAAAGTTATAAGTGGGGTCCCTTATTTGTCACCCTTCGGGTTCAAGTTGATTGGTAATCTAGGGTATGGCCAATGAAAAAGGATATATAGGGATAGGCACGGGGGTGCGTGAACGCAGCATCAAAATCCTTGCATCACAATGAGTGCACCATCCCATCACCAGTCTGTGAGATTTATGTCTGGCATGTAGAATCCATTCTGTAATTCCATGCACTATTTCAATATCGGTCTCTAGAGTCTGGTGAATTTTCAGTAAGTTGCACTGATGGGTAACGCACCTGGGTTATTTACATTTTGATGAAAATTAAGACGACCGTTTACTCGAAATAAAGTCTTTTAATCTCACAGTTATCATCTTTATGACATATTGTTTATGTGTAAGTTGTCTGGCGTAGCGTAAAATTGGACCGATTTCCTTGGTATAAAAGAACTTTGCTGACAAACAAAGACATTACGGTTAATATAGTTGTCTGCTAAATAATAATATGTCAATAATAATATGTTTGTGAAACTATAATAGATTTAGTTGTCTGCAAAATAATAACAGGCTTTTCTAAATACTTGTTTTGTTTTTACCCTTCACTTGCAGCACATTACGTATGATGTGGTGCAAGTGAAGGGACTAGAGGTGACATTTTTGCGCATTATTGCGTGGAAACCGTCTACGCGCCTAGCGAATACACGTCTGACGCGCTACAGCGGTGTGGCTGTCCTAATAAATCCTAAGACGGTTTTGTATTGCATGCTCAGGACGTCGAAAGCTCATTTCGTGTACCTTACCCACAGACCGCTCGACTAAAAAGATATGCACTATGATTTAAATAGCATAATCTTTACCAAGTCTGAACATGAAGCAAATCTGCTGGATAGGACGCTACTCTTCACTGCAAAGGAGCTGCGCTCCCGCTCTATGTTGAAGTCATCCTTTGGACCGTTCGTTATAACGTGATCTATCTATTTAATGTTGTCCATGTCCTTCCAAGTAGTACCGTCAAGTTTAACTGATTGAACTGCTTTAAATATGAGGACATGACTTTTGTCCGAGTTGTATTTGAACTCGTGGCCAGCCGCATAATGCTCAAAAGTTACAACTAGCTTCCTAATCGAAATAATAGATGGATTCAACAATACAATTTCATCAGAAAATCATAAATTGCCAATCAGACATGCATGCTGCTGTGCTCCCCGATCAACAGATTAATTTAAAGGTTGAATAACCCTAGAGATATCAAACCTCCTGTCACACACCGCATTCTGATTCATATCCTTCAGTGGTGATATCGAATAGAATATAATATAATCGATTTCAAGTAAGTCTTATTGAAAGTAATTTTATACTTTTACCAGTGTTTCAGAAAAAAACCTTTTTTGAGAAATGAACCAGCAAGCAACACAGCTGCTTTTTTTTCTGCAATCTGCTCATCTCACCTGGTTTAACTGGTCTCTTTACCAGAACTGGACCGGTGATATATATCCTGCCGGCAAACCAGTGCTCCTCAACTTGAAAACACGCGTATGCGCGTATAATACGACTTTCCTGACTATGTAATACTTGAAAGTGTGCTTAAGGCACAATATAACACTTTTCGTAAATAGTCCAGACCTAAATCTCATCTGTGCGTCGTGCATCATCACATCATGCTTACCCAGCGGAATGTTAATAAGCAAACTGTCAAGT